TTAATTGAATTAACTATATTCATAAATTATAGTTATTGATGCGAACCCAGATGACTTGTGTTAGAATACATTACAATTCGGGCGAGTACAAAGTCCAAATTTACTTAAATCGTTAATTTTTTCAAATCTAATTACTCAAAGCTTTACATATTTACCTGTATAAAAATGACTATACCCTACTTACTTATATATACACACACGCACACTTTAGGTACACAATTAATGCAAATTAAAAAATATAAATCGTTCACTTTTTGAGTGAAGTTGGAAATTAAAGCTCATTTTTATTTTTTATTTTTTCTTTTAATTAGCAAACCAATAATTTCAATTATGAACCAAAAAAAGTTACAATCTTTTCAAATTTCTACCATTATAAATTCCATATCAATAAAGAAAATGTAAAATCCAAATTTACTGTTACATTTAAATTAATATTATTATCAATTTATTTCACTACCAAAATACACCAATAAAACGACCCACAGATTGACCCTGCAGAATGTATAAGTTCGTCTTTCAAAACCCATTTAAGCTCAAACACCAACGAGGGCTGCAGACGTCAGCACATTCCCTTTACTACGTCAGCACAAGGGAGAAAAAAACAACAATTATAAAGGGAGAAGAGAGTGAGCAACTTGTTTATTTACAGCCTTATTAGCTCAATTTTACCTTCTTTTGTCAGGCCTGTTTTCTTTTGCTCCCCACCTTTATTTTTCCTCAGATCTCGCCTTATCCCTTCATAGTGGAAATCAAAAGAGTTCCATTTTTCTGTTAGTAGGTTTAAAGATTGTATTTTGCTTCCGAAAATCGAGATGGGTTGTGCTGGGAAGACAGTTTCTTGAATATCAGCGTAAGCGTTTTTGTTTTTTCAGTTTTTAGCGAGTATGATAAGGTCATTTTTTAAGTATGTGTGATTATCATGCAAACGCATGGTTCATGGTGTTTGGTTGTAAAAATGTTTTCTAAAGTGGATAAAAATTGAATCTTTATTGGATAATCTCTTCCATTGTGAATTTGTGATGTGCAAGTGCTGAAATTGAGTTTATTTTCCTCTTCTTTTGTGCAACTCTTTCTTGTTATTTACTGTTGGTTTTTTTCCCCTTTTATTTATTGTAGCACGTTATTGGAAGATTGAAAAAACCATTGAAATACCCCTGTTTTATTCTGTTTCTTGACTTTAAAATTTACCTATTTAGTCATTTTTGCATTTTCTGTCCAGAGTCCTGGAAATTTTGGCTGTGGGTTATTGATTTTTTTATTTAGGTGAACGATTGCTAGATTTCAATGCTTTTTAGTCTTCTGTTCATGTTGAGTATATGTGTCAATACTACATTGCTACTCTAAAACTTTGTTAATGAACTGCAAAAGTGATTCCTTTGGTTGGTGTTGCTGGTGGGTTGTTCTTTATTATTATTATTATTATTATTATTATTATTATTATTATTATTATTATTATTTTGGTGAATAAATGATAACTTGCAAGATATGACTGCTTTTTAGCCTGCTATTTGAGTATATGTGTCAATGCTAGATGACTAATTTATACCATTGTACATGAGATGCAGTGATCTCTTTGGTTGGTTTTGCTGTGGGTTTTTATTGAACTTTTTGGCGAATTTGGTGAACAAATGAAAATTACAAGATTTGAATGCTTTCTAGCCTCCTATTTGAGTATGAGTCAATTCTAGATGACTAGTTTAAAACTTTGCAAATAAACTGCAAAAGTGATGATACATTTGGTTGGTTTTGATATGTCTGCAAAAGAGATTCCCCTGTTTTCTAGTGATTATCACCTTGTTCATTTTTAAATTGCAGAAATTTTTCATAAGTTCATTGTAATTTCCTACACTTTANTTTTTTTTTTTTTTTTCATTTTTGTATCTCTATTTTTATTATTCATATCCCCCCAGATCCCAAAGCAACTTCTGCAGATTCTTGATATCAACAGTTTTTCTGCAGTTTTTAGTTTTTTACCTAAAGTCCCATCCATCATATTGAGATAAAGTCACCTTTTCACATCAGTTCCTCATTTCCACGCCATGCTTATTTTGGTACCCTATGTTTTAATTGTTTAATCATTATTACCTTATTGAGGAATCCGAAAAAAACGTGCTTATGCGCTCATCGAGTTTTACACCAGTAGATCAATACATACCCATGTAGTGTGTGTGATCGAACCTTTCGAGTTAAATGTTTTACTTTTCATAGTTTTAAGGTACTAAAATACAACAACATTCTTGTCATTATGTAGCATGTTAGCATTCATTTTGTGTCGTTTCTGATATCACGACATAATCTTCTTGTTGAAAATGGGTTGATTAGAAAACGACTTGAATATTGCTGACTCAGCTACCCTCTCCACGATGTTTTCATGCCCGAAAATTACTTATCAACGCATTCTATTGTGTGCAGCATCAATTACTCCAGCTGCATTTTGAAAGTTGTCATGATATTATATGGTCCTTTTATGCTCTACTAATAATCTAACTAGTTTTGCTATGGAGCCATCTGATGACTCGACTTATGGAGTCATCTACACTTATTCTTCAATAGTGTATCGACACGTCCTACAATAAAATACAATTTAGACAAGTGTCAACACATTAAGTGGTGGATGACTCCATAAGAAAACCATGCGATGGCTTCATAGAATTTTTGATAATCTAACTATGAGTTAATGCGCGAAATTCTGAACACACTCGTGCAAAACGGACACGACTTTATTTCTCTTAACTACATTAATCATCGCATTTTTACGTTACGCTCAAGTTCTTAACGATC